TTTGCCAATTGGTCAAAAGAAAAACCAAAACCGGTCAAGCACGAACGTGTGAATTACAAAAGGAAAGAGGAAAAAAAACAAAATCTTGGACTTGTTCAATGTTTCTGGAACGCCAAAAAATTAGTACCCAACTAATAATCAAAACGCAGCGTTTTAACTGCTTCCCCTTTTTAGTGGCTCACTCGCTATGACTTTTCTCTTTTCAACTACTATAAAATGAACACCATTCTCTATCTTCGTTTTCAGCGTTAAACCCTTTGAAAAAAACACAAGAAAATATCTTAAACTTTTTTGTATAAACAAAAGAAAAACAGAGCATCATGGTTATGTATGAAGAGGTTAGTTTCTTGATAGATATGTTTTCAAGATCATGTAGAGCTATATAACTGTAGAAAATTGATTAAAATGTTAATCTTGTTACATTGTATTATTCTGATCAGTAGTACATCAAAATGATTTTTTTTTTGTAGGGTTTTGTGGTGAATTCACGAGGCATGAAACTGTTCACTTGTGTATGGAAACCGGTTAAGCAAGAACCAAAGGCCATGCTCTTCCTCTGCCATGGCTATGCAGTGGAATCCAGCATCACTATGAACAGTTTAGTGAGATATTTATATATTTACTAACTTTGATCAAATTATTAGTACTATATGTATTTACAAATGAAATTATGGGATTAATCAGGCACTGCGACGAGGCTAGCCAAGGCTGGTTTTGCGGTTTATGGAATGGACTATGAAGGACATGGAAAATCCGAGGGATTAAATGGTTACATCAAAAAGTTCGATGATCTAGTAGATGATGTCTCTATTCACTACTCTACAATTTGTGGTAATATTATTTAAAGAAAAATACTCTGTTTTTATTTTGATTAATTTACTAGTATATGAAACTGTGTTCTTGAAAGAAAAATAAGTGGTGAATTAAATTTTGAAGAGAAAGAAGAGAATAAAGGGAAGATGAGGTTTCTACTAGGAGAATCCATGGGAGGTGCAATTGTGTTGCTCTTAGCTAGAAAGAAGCCTGATTTTTGGGACGGTGCCGTTTTGGTAGCACCCATGTGTAAGGTTTGTGATTTTTATYTGATCTTATCTTTTGTTTTTTAGTCTTCATCTTTAACTAATTGTTTGTTAGTTTATGCTTAAGTCAACTAGTTGTTAATTTAGAAAAGAAGTTGATACCGTGTGTGATTAAGATATATCATTAATAAATTTTAATGGAATATTTTTTCATAAATCAAAATTTATCATATAACAAAATAACACCAACTATCATATATAG